GTGTAGGTTTCCTCAGCATGGGCTGTGACTACCTTTTGATCTGGCATTTGCTTATTGGAAGAGCCCGACTGTTTCCCTTTCGTGATAAGGCAACCTTCTTGTGTGGTAGTCGGTGGCATCTTGCTCTTAATCGGGAGGCGCGACTGGACTACTTTTTGCGGGTATCTTTATTTGGTACAAAAGTAAAGTAGAGTAAGTTGGAAGGATTTGACAGTCGGACGAAAGCACAACTACTCGCGAGGGGTGCCAGTGTCCGAAATGTATGAGTGCGCATCCGTTACTTGAGTCAGGCTTGAAGGTGATCGACCAGACCGAGATAGGCAGACACTAGTGCATGTGTATATGCAAGCAGCCACACCGGGGTTACTGCAGCTCGCCGTACCACCCATTCGCGCTCTTTGACTCCTTAAGGACGGTTCAGTTAAATTCGTCTTTCAAATCATGCGTTTGGTACACAATACTTTAGTTGGTGACAAATAACATACAACTGCTCACGCTACTAGATTTTGACGTCCGGATGACTTTTGAGTTTCACTTTTAGAAGTACATTGTAGAAAAAGTAAGTGTAGTACCCTGGTCTAATACTAAGCAGATATTCTGCAAATATTCCCATTTTACGATTGAGAAGTCGTCTTAGCAAACACGTGTTTTCAGCAATTCTTCATCAGGGCAGCACAGCTGCAAGGACTAAAATAGTCAGTTATATGTAGTGTCCCATAGATGGCGCATGGCAACAGCAGTCTTGAAGAAATTTCTCATAGTGTCGACAATGTCAAAGCCTTCCACGTTACTGTGGCGAAAGTTTGGTGGTTCAGTTGCAGGAGCCGATAGCACATATCCAAACTCTTGAGTTGCCCTGTTGAACCACTGCAAAAAACGACGGCAACAGTATTCGCGACACAATATACCTGGCACCAAGAAGAATAATCGACATGTATCGCCCCTTATTGTGACAACACAAACTATAGCGTGACGGGGAACTTGATATCGATGTCAAGAATACCAAAGCAAAGGACTGTAGCAGTGTCTGATCGCAATCGTCGAGGCCTTTCAGGCGACCTCACGTACCATGCGTGTTCACTACTGCGACCGCGTAAGACCTGATACTAGCCTCGCAAGAGTTTGAAGCCAATCAATCTGTATCCTGTGTTGATTGGACACAGGACCCCCATGACAGGTGCGAGTTACGGATTTCCAGCAAGTCACGACTCACACGCCCGCTATCGAGCAATTAATGCACAAGCGGGTAAGTATTCTCGATAAGAAGGAGCCGCTAATTATCATGGGTATACAGTAGCATCGCAACAGCATCCTATAAATACTACAATTGGCAGTCTACGAACTATCCTTTTCTGCTACTGTCTGTATTAATTGGTTCGAAAGAGAATCTGAAACGTCAGACGAATAAAGTCCTTTTTCCGGCAATGGCGTCCACTTCTTTTCAATTACTTCCTGGGACTGAAATTTTCAATTGCGTCGGAAATGTCATAGCCACAGAGTTTTAGTTACTGTCCGCGAGCTCATCAAATTCACCCGAAGCACGTCTCTACAAAGTCGAACTCAAAAAGCAATTGCGATTAATGAGGTTTTTAGCTGCGTTTGATTTGCCTAGAAGCGGTATTACACACTCAGGCTTGAATTCATTTACTGCAGGCGAGCATCGTTCATGTGATAATTTTGAATCCTTATCCGCCGCTGACAACTACAAGAGTTGGCGCCATTTGGGCTGAAGAATGCCTGC